TTCTAGTTATGAAGGCCCCCATATTAGGGAGGCCTGGCTCCGAGGGATTGAGGGTTTCATAAAGTTTCAGGGTTTAGGGTTTATGGTTTAGGGTGTAGGGCTTAGGGTTTAGGGTTTAGGGTTTAGGGGGGGTTTCAAAAAGTTTCAGGGTTTAGGGCTCTAGCATTGCAGCTGGCAGGGAGGGCAAGCAACGAGTCTCCCTCCCCAAAAAAGAGCTTTAGCATTCTAGTGTTTAGGACTTAAGGGTTTAGGGTTTAGGGTTGCATGGGCGCTGGCCGGCACCTCAGTCCGTGCTGAAAAAAAGGGCTGAGGGGTTAGAGGGTCGTTGCAGGCCAGTTGCAAAAAGCATTCCAAAGCTTAAGGGCTATACGGTTCCTCCAAGTTCCCTCACGTAGGTCGGTTTAACTGAGCCGGTTGCGCTGTGTCTTGCTGCCAGACAGGTGAGAAGAAAAAATCCGCGCGCTTCATTGGCTTAGGGGGCTTGCCTCGAGGTTCCCGATCAAAAGCCTCTTCTGACCTGCCAGGTCCAAGGCGTAGACACCAGAGCCGGCCCTCCTCCATCATACTAAACCGTATGTGCAAACGAGCTCTTGAGGGTTTTGGCTTCAGGAGTAAAGTTTAGGGTTCAGGGTTTCGGGCTTAGGGCTTAGAGGTTAGGGGTCACGGGTTCAGGCCTTATATGCACATGAGCTACAGCCCCAAGCCTGCGTCTAAGCTACAGCTACAACCCGACGAGCCCGAGAACCCTATAAAGTCCAAACAATCCCTTATAAAATCGAAAAATCCTTGAAAATGTCAACAAATCATCTGAAAAGGCCAGAAATCCCGCACAAAGTCAAAGATCCCCTATAAAGCAAAAATTGCCTATCAAATCCAAAAAACCCTAGAAAGTCCAAACATGCTTGGCGAGAGTTCCTGCCGCCAGCTTTGCCGCTCAAGTTGGCGGCCCCGGACCCGCGTTTCGGGCGGGGCCGCAGAGGGGAAGCAGGTGGCCATGACTGACCAGGAGGTGGGTGGTTTCGGGGTCTGAAGATTTAGTACCCTAAACCTTAAACCCTAAACCGATATAGTCCCTATACAAATTATAATCTAATGACAAATGCCTCAACATGTCGCCCCACCAGGGCTTTGTAAGGTGTTTGCAAGGGTTTCATAGGGCCCCAGACAACCCAGAACATGGGGTACTCAAGACATGCACCACAGAAAATGTAGGTATAGGGTCTAGGAAACTTGCATGTCAGCTGGATCGCTTCTTTGTAATGCACCTGTGTCAGGCGAGCCCACCGGCGGAAGCCAGCAATGCCGACGTCCCTTGGCTGACCGCATAGAACATGAGTCTGCGGTCAAAATTATTGTCATTTGTACATCTACACATGTCCAGCGTTATAAACGTCGAATGTTCTATGGATTCAACTGCCCAATTCCAAGATTCCAATCGCGTGGTGTAAAGTTTATTAAGTGAGCCCTTTGGCTTCGAGGCGTTGGGTTATCCAGCCCTATTAGACCTGCGTCACCACGTCTCGGACGCACCATCAGGAACCCTCGTGGGAACCGATAAAGGGTTTCTGGTTTAGTATGCAGTTCCACGAGGCAGAGCCACCGATGCCCGTGCCCGTCAATGCCGAAGTGCCGTGGTCGCAAGTTGGTCTCCACTGCAAAGAGAGGACGGGTCGTCAAAAACCTGGAAACCGACAAACGGTGTCTGGTTTGGGGCTAAGGCATCCAGGGTTCAGGTTGGAAATGCTGTTTCATAGGGCCCCAGACAACCCAGAACATGGGGTACTCAAAAGATGCACCACAGAAAATGTAGGTACAGGGTCTAGGAAACTTGCATGTCAGCTGGATCGCTTCTTTAGTAAAGCACCTGTGTCAGGCGAGCCCACCGGCGGAAGCCAGCAATGCCGACGTCCCTTGGCTGACCGCATAGAACATGAGCCTGTGGTTAACATTGTTGTCAACTGTACATCTACACATGTCCAGTGCTATAAATATCGAATGTTCTATGGATTCAATTGCCTCATTCCAAGGTTCCAATCTCGTGGTGTAAAGTTTATCAAGTGAGCCCTTGGGCTTCGAGTCGTTGGGTGGTCCAGCCCTTCTAGAACTGCGTCACCACGTCTAGGACGCACCTTCAGGAACCCTTGTGGGAACCGATAAAGGGTTGCTGGTTTAGTATGCAGTTCCACGAGGCAGAGCCACCGATGCCCGTGCCCGTCAATGCCGAAGTGCCGTGGTCGCAAGTTGGTCTCCACTGCAAAGAGAGGACGGATCGTCAAAAACCTGGAAACCGACAAACGGTTTCTGGTTTGGGGCTAAGGCATCCAGGGTTTGGCCATGCTGTTGCATAGGGCCGCAGACAACCCAGAACATGGGGTACTCAAAACATGCACCACAGAAAATGTAGGTATAGGGTCTAGGAAGCTTGCATGTCAGCTGGATCGTATCTTTGGTAATGCACCTGTGTCAGGCGAGCCCACCGGCGGAAGCCAGCAATGCCGACGTTCCTTGGCTGACGGCATAGAACATGAGTCTGCGGTTAACATTATTGTCAACTGTACATCTACACATGTCCAGTGCTATAAACATCGAATCTTCCATGGATTCAACTGCCTAATTCCAAGATTCCAATCTCGTGATGTAAAGTTTATTAAGTGAGCCCTTGGGCGTCGAGTCGTTGGGTGGTCCAGCCCTTCTAAACTGCGTCACCACGTCTCGGACGCACCATCAGGAACCCTCGTGGGAACCGATAAAGGGTTTCTGGTTTAGTATGCAGTTCCACGAGGCAGAGCCACCGATGCCCACGCCCGTCCATGCCGAAGTGCCGCGGTCGCAAGTTGGTTTCCACTGCAAAGAGAGGACGGGTCGTCAAAAACCTGGAAACCGACAAACGGTGTCTGGTTTGGGGCTAAGGCATCCAGGTGCCAGGTTGGCCATGCTGTTTCATAGGGCCCCAGACGACCAAGAACATGGGGTGCTCTAAATATGCACCACAGAAAATGTAGGTGTGGGGTCTAGGAAACTTGTATGCCAGCTGGATCGCTTCTTTGGTAATGCACCTGTGTCAGGCGAGCGCACCGGCGGAAGCCAGCAATGCCGACGTTCCTCGGCTGACTGCATAGAACGTGAATCTGTGGCTGGCATCATTGTCAACTGTAAATCTACACATGTCCAGTGCCATAAACATCGAATGTTCCATGGTTTCAACTGCTTAATTCCAAGATTTCAATCTCGTGGTGTAAAGTCTATTAAGTGAGCCCCTGGGTTTCGAGTCGTTGGGTGGTCCAGCCCTTCTAAACTGCGTCACCACGTCTAGGACGCACCTTCAGGAACCCTCGTGGGAACCGATAAAGGGTTTCTGGTTTAGTATGCAGTTCCGCGAGGCAGAGCCACCGATGCCCACGCCCGTCCATGCCGAAGTGCCGTGGTCGCAAGTTGGTCTCCACTGCAAAAAGAGGACGGATCGTCAAAGCTGGAAACCGACCAACGGTGTTTGGTTTGGGGCTACTTGGAGGATCATGGGACTTAGTAAGGTTATAAGTCCCTTAATTGGGGTTATAAGTATAGTTACCTTAGTTAGAACCCTACTTACTAAGTCCCATGATCCTTTAAGTAAGGCATCCAGGGTTCAGCTTGGCCATGCTCCGGTTGCGGCATCCACATGGTGACGAGTTGGGCAGTTCTCTAAATTAAGGTCCCCTTTAGGGTCCTTTTTCTAAGGGTGCCGTACTATATTGGGAACTTAAAAAGGGACCCTAATTTCGAAAACTATCCATGTGCACATGCGCAAGTGTTCAGCGAGGTGGAGCCACCGGCATCCTCCAGCAATGCAGCAGCACCACGGCTCAGTCAAGAATGGTGGTTCAGATGTACCCCGAAAGCTCATTCAAGAAGCCAGTCTCTACGGCACTACGAGGCGGACCTTCTGGAAGCATCCGCCACCGCAGAGGTGCCGTGGCTGGCAAAGCGATGCAGTGATGCCTGTGTTGGCGCTTTTCTGCTTAATCGTAGTAACGATAGTAGCAATGATAGGCATAACAACAACAGTAACAATGAGAAGTTGCAGTGGGCCGACGACTGAAGGTTGTGTGTCAGAAGCTTTGTGTGTTTGGCGAGGGTGTTGCTGTAGACTCTTTGAAGCCGGAAGACGGATGGCTTGCTTCTTTTTTGGTGCTTTTGTGGCTGAAGGCCATGCAGCTACCTATAGTCTCCATTGTAGTCCCGCTTTTTGGTTTAACCAGTTATAGATTAAGATTTTATAAGGCATCTCAACAGTTAGATAACATCTATATTATTGGTATACTAGGCCCTTAATAGTAGCCCTAATGTAGACTGTTACTGTATGGGGGCAGTACCCAAGCTAGAGCACAGGTCTCGAAACCGTCGGGCCGAAGTTGGGATCTGTTCGATCTACTCCCGGCTCTTTGTGCCCATATACTAATATTAATATTGGCACTAGTATTATATACTACTCAGGTTTAGGGTTTAGGGTTAATTGACACTAATCTTATATACTAACAGTACTAGCATGAATCATGAACATTAATCGTAGTGTGCATATGGATTTCAAGACTGGCTTCCAGCTTTGGGGTTAAGTCTTTCCGGGTGTAGGGGTTTGGGGTTCAATGTTTAGGGGTTTCGGGTGACGTGCTCCTGCGGCCGTATATGACAGGCGGACCCCGCCGCCGAACCATCGGGCAGCGTAGCGGTGCCGTGGCTTGCAAAGCGACGCAGGGATGCCGTGCTTGGTCCAGATTTACCGAAGTTTCGTGTTCCATTGTGTTTCTGGCGTGGGCGTTGCCTCGGACTTTTTGAAGTCGGAAGATAGATGGCCTGCTTCTTGTCCTGTTCCTATAGATGAAAGCTTTACAGATAATATAGAAGCTGAAATAATTACCCCATATTATTGTTAGGGTTCCTCATTAATAATAGTACTATAAAGGAGCCCAAAACCCTATTCTAAGTAGGAAGGCCCCTACATTATGCCACGGGCATCTCTTGCCGTCGGTGTGCTTAGGTGTCCAGGGCTTGCCGAAATTTGCCTCGATCGGTTCGGCCTACCGAGTCTCCTCCCCGCTGTTTCCAGGTTTGGAGTTCAGGGTGGCTGGGTTTTTGGGTTTGGGGTTTAGGGTTTAGGGTGGGTTTTTGGGTTTGGGTGTGAGGTTTAGGGTTTAGGGTGGGTGGGTTTAGGGTTTAGGGTGGGTGTTCGGGTTGGGGATTTCGTCGGTTATTTACTTTCCTTCCGCCGTATTCCAGCAAGGCGGACCTATCGGCCGAGCCATCCGGAAGCGCAGTGGTGCCCCGGCTGCGTTAACGATGTTTTGTCAGGTAGTACTAGGCATCTTGCAGCCCTGTAGTAGTAAGTCTCCCCTAGACCCCGAAACCCTGAACCCCAGCTTCCTATGTATCCCCTAAGCCCGAAACCCCTAGTATAGGGTCTTTCTTTCGGGTTTAGGGTTTAGGGTTTACTATATAAGATTGACACTGAAAGTACTGGAAAGTACGCAGGCAGCTGCTCATGGCATTGAAGCTGGCAAAAAACACAGGACCGTCGCACGCACATGCATTCTGTCCTGTGAGGAAACAGGCCTTTCCAAAAGACACGGCTTGAACCATGTCAGGATCCCAGCATATGGTAACTTATACCCCGAAACCCTATTCTAACCATAGCCCTAAACTCTAAACCCAAAAACCCTAAAAACCCTAAAAACCCTAAAAGCCCTAAACTCTTGAAACGCCTTTCTTAGCAAGCCCGGACGAGTCGGCTCCCCGAAGCCTGACTGGTTGGCTTGCTCGAAGGCACAGGGGGCAGCCTCACGCAGAAGTTTTGGGTTTGGGGTTTTGGGGTTTATGGTTTAGGGTTTGGGGTTTTGGGTTTTGGGTTTAGGGTTTAGGGTTTGTTAGTTTGCTGCATGGGCAGGTTCGTGCTTTAGGGAAGCCCAAAAACGGTGAGAAATGCAAGCCCGAAGCCCGAATAGATTGAGACACCCACGCAAGGCTGAGCCAAAGCCAGTCGACGGCAGCAGCGGCGTGCTTTGGCTGCTTTCTGCTGCCCCCACAACCCGGCCTTTGTGCTTAGAACAGGGCTTTGTGTGATTAAATATGGGTCTTGGAGGGTCTTTAAAAGTATTTGATATAATTAGAACAGGTTTCTGGACTATGACACGGTAAAACTAGATAAACTAATTAGCAGCAGAGCTTACTGTCGATTATTCCGACCTTGAACCACAGCCACCTAAATTTAGGACAAACACTCAAACTCTAAACCCGAACCGCTTTAATCCTGACCCCAGAGTGCTTGACATTACAAACCTCATACGGTCGGAAAAACCTTTATTAACATTCCCGTGAGGGCCCCTGTATAATATTTTAGTACCATCTACCCCGAGACCCTACTCTAATCCTTTCGGCCCCTATACCCTCAACCCCTTAATAGAACTCTCACAGGGTCATAGAACTTAGTCTTGCACCCCTTCTCAATCCGCAGCATCTAAGGCGCCCGGGCCCCTGTAGTCTAAACAGCTTAATATAGGGACCTTAACAACTAGAATAGGGTTTTGTGTAGTTTTTATTATACTTATAGTAAGGAACCTCCAAAACCCTGTTCTAATTATGACTGCCCCTACTCTAGGACATTTTCAGGTTGGTAGTTACCGTTTTAGGAGCCTTATAGAAGGTCGATATAGCTTATAGAGGCCTTATAGAAGGCCTAGATACCCTAAACCTCCCACCTGTAGTTTCCTTTAACCAAGGCCCTTTAAACGCCAAACCACAGGCCCAGGATGTCCTCAAGTTCTGGGGGTCCGAGGATAGCTCTGTGAGGCCGTGGTGTTGGGATTTGTGGGTTTAGGGTCTGAGGAATGGCTGGAGAGGGGTTCGGAATCCTCCCTTCGTACAGCTTTCAGAAATGTTTCTACTAATTATTCAGACTTAAACCCGAAGTTCAAAGCCCTGAACTTCCACCTGAAGCCCACAAGGGTCAACCCTATACCCTAAAACCCGCCAACTACCCTCTAATAATCACCCAATACCCCTGGGGGGTTTTAGGGTTTAGGGTTCAGAGGTGAACCCCAGCCAATGAAACCCCAAACCTTCATACGCGGCCCCTAAACCTTCCCTAAACCCAGCAGGAGGTGGCTGAAGGTGGACCCTCCCCAGCCGCGATCGCAGCGCTGCTGGGAAGCACGTCCCGATACTCGGGGCTTTGGGTTGGGGTGGGGCTTTAGGGCTTAAGGCTTGAAGCTGGCAGCCTGAGGGTCTGAGGGTTCATGGTCGTTCCTTCACTTTCGGGTTTTGACTACTAAACTTACTAAAGCTAAAACCCTATTTGCTCTTTTGGGTTTGACGCGCAGTTCCGTAGAGTCTGTCCAGGTGAGTTTGGAGCGAACGAGCCAGCCCGGTGCTGTGTTGAGTTTTAGCTAGGATACCAAAACAGAGATACCAAGTAAATATGTATAACCCAAATTAAACTCGTTAAGGCCTCCAGTTTCGGATCCAGGATGTGTGGAGAGATCGCAGTCTGTTTCCTTGGTTGAGAGAGCTAGAACTGTACACTAATCCCAATGTGGCTTGCCTGCATAACACCCTCCAGTTGCCAACCGTCGAGCCTTTCAGCGCTACACGGCCAAGCGCTACACCATTTGACGATCCTTTGGGCGCGTACCACGCAAGCACCCACTGGGATAGATGATTCGAGCGATGGCAGCATCCACGCCAGACCAGTGCATGAATTGGGACAGACATCCATGCCCGAAGTACGAGAAGATCCATGCTGCCAGGGCACCCATTGAGACACAATCTCCATGCCCGAACCACGATTCCTTGCAGCCGGTGGGTTTCCTTGGGACACATCATTCATGCCCCAATGATGATAACATGCATGCTGCCAGTCTCTGATCAAGTTCGTGGCCAGGTTGGCTTATAAGGTATCCCCAAAAAGGAACTACAATGGAGACTATAGGCAACATCCCACATCTCGGATTTCTCTGCAAGAATGCATATCCGTAGTTGGAATCCTAAGTTTGGACACTGAACTCAGGGGTATCACTTCGTAGCCATCAGCAAACCCTGCTGAACCCCTAAGCCCCCAAACGCCAAAGCCCCTTAACCCCTATGCCCAAACCCTGTAGCCTAAACCCCTAAACCCTAAACCATTAAACCCTAAACCCCTAAACCCTAAACCCTGAAGGGCTAAGCCCTACACCCCAAACCGACCTTGCTTCTGAAGCTCCCCAGGTTGCTCAAATCGGTGTACGAGCTGGCCTCTGAGGTTCGGATTTCTATACATCACCTTCCTCTTCAGGGTTTAAGGTTTAGGGTTTAGGGTCTTTTTGTTGTTGTCATTATTTATTAACTTATTGTTTTCTGGTTCTTCTTATTGTTATTATTGCAATTGCTATTGTCATTGTTTGTTGTTGGTATTGTTATTCCTGTGAATCAGCACTGTTACTGCGATTGCTATCGTTAGTGCGAGTGCTATTGTTATGGTTTTTGGCATTATTATCGTTAGTGTCATTGCTATTAATATCGTTAGTGTTAATAATAGTGTTATCACCATTGTTATTGCCATTGTTATCGTGGTTGTTATGGCTCTTTACCATAGTTGATATTGCTAGTGGTATGGTTATTGTTATTGCTAGTGGTATCGTTAGTGTTATTGGTATTGTGTTCGTTATTACTATAGATATTGTTCTCGTTATTGTTAGTGCATGTGTTATCGCTGTTGTTAGTGCGATTGCCAGTGATATTGTTTCACGACTTATAGTGCATGTGTTATCGTTATTGTTATTAGTATTGCTAGTGTTGTCGTTATTGTTATTGGTATTGTTATCGTTATTGTCATTGCTATTGTTATCATTATTGTTAGTGGTATTGTTTTCGTTATTGTTATCGCTGTGGTTGTCGTTATCTTTAGTGCATGTGTTATCGTTAATGCTATTGCTAGTGTTACTGTTATTGCTATTGTTATTGTTGTTGTTACCGCTGTGGCTAGCGCACGTGTTAACATTAATGTTATTGCTATTGCTAGTGTTATTGTTACCGTTATTGATTGTTATTGCTATGGTTGCTGTTATTGCTATTGTTATCGCTTTTGCCATCGTTATTGTTGTTGTTCTCCTCCTCCTCCTCCTCCTCCTCCTCCTCCTGTTTCTTCTTCTGCTTCCTCCTGCTGCTACTACTACTACCACCACCACCACCACGACTACTACTGCTACTACTACTACTACTACCACCACCACCACGACTACTACTACGACTAC